GATATTTGATGGGGACATATTTAGATGCAACACCTCCTGAAACATGAAGACAGACGTGACTATTGGTTTAATAAATAAACGCTTTCAGCTGCCCACACACACGCACACACACACACACACACACACACACACACACTCGCTCTCTCTGGTTGTTTTCTGGAGTTTCCACTGAAGCCTTTTCAGTCTGTGGTTTATTGGTTGTTGCTGCTGATCTACAGATTGTCGATGAGCAACAGGAAAACATCAGATCTGATCTATCGGCTCTGAAGCCACAGAGACCAGAACGATCAACGACGAGAAAACAGATGAGACCAAATGAAAAACTTTAATAATTTACTGGAGAACAAACTGAGAAAGAAACATTTTATTAAACATCCAGAGAGGAATGGTGTTAAAGTCAGATGGTCGGCTGAAGCAATAAAATAACTACATGTGAAGTAAAGAGGAGAAGCAGCAGCTGGAGGTCAGAGGTCAGACTGGTGGACTACCTCAGTGAAGAGTAGATGATGTCTGGATCTGGTTGAACCTCTGGAAGAAAATAAACTGGTTAAAATAAAACCAAACAGCAGAAGGTCAGTCAGAGTTATGGGAACTATGAGCCTCTCATGAGGTCATTTATCAAATGTACATGGAAAAAAATATGATTGTTCCTCTTATTAAAACACAATTTAACTGTTAACTATATTCTGAAGAAAGCAGAGTTCAGCTTAATCAGCCATATCTACACCTTATTGCTGCTGTAAAATAAATAGATAATTTAAAAAGAGCCTGTCTGACGACATGAAGCAGGCGATAAGATCTCTAAGATCTAATTATAATATTTCACTGAACAAGGAAGAGCAGAATAAAGTCAGTGACATCAGCCTGGAAAGTCTGCAAATCCATTTCTAAGGCCAGAACCGTTTATCCACATGGACCAGAGGAGAACCGAGAGACGGGAAGACCCAGAACCCCAAGAGAGCTCTGCCCTCAGAAAGCCAATAAGAAAACCCAGACAGTGAGTTAAACACTCAGCCTCTCCTCCAGCACCTCCAGTGCATCCTGCCCTGGGGGGTTACAACCCCCCACATGGAGCACTGGGAGACCAGGCAGATGCCCTCTGTGGCCCCATCTACAAACAGAACAGACGCCACCGAGCTACAGAACCAGATCCCCGACCCAACACCAGGGCAGGCGGCCCCTCAACCATACAACATGCCTGACAGTGCAACATCAGCCACCAGCTCCACCCTCACCACCAAACCAACCAAAACATCAGAGGCCTCACATCCAGAAAGGCTGGACCCCCTTCAGTTCACCAGCAGCACCAACATCCATCACTGTGCAGAGAGGAACAGAGCAGGAGAAGCAGAGCTCTGCCCCAACCACCTGGCCAACGCCAGGACCCGATTCAACCCATCCATGAAACACGAGGCCACCCAGCCACCACCACAGCACACTGCAGGTATGAGCGTCACACCAAGCTGACTAGCTACCTCTTCCACCTTAGCAAAGCCCCTCTATCAGTAGCTGTAAACAGAGAACGGTGATCTGGAAAAACCCCAGGAAAACACCCTCTGCCTGCTCAAATATGGTTGATGTGACTTGTTATAAGCAGCAACTAAAACAGAGATGGGAAGTTGATCATGTTATCTGCTTCCATTGATCAGAGCTTCTTCTGTTCTCATGTTCATGCTTCATAACTAACTTGAGTCTGACTTGAGTTTCTTAGTTCAGATCTGCTGTTCTGAAACCAAAACCCAGAACATCCCAGAGCTGCAGGTTTACTCAGAGTATCTGCTTCTAGTTTGTTTCTCAATCAGAGCCTGATGTCCTCCATGCTGTCTGACTGAAGCCTCCCTGGTCAGCTAGGCTAAACTAGCTACAGCTAGCAGAACTCAACTGCTATAAAACTGAAACCAAGAGTGAAAGGTCTGCTCCAGAGAGTCACTTCTTAAAGCCCAGAACCATTCAGGAAGGTATGTATTATTTAATTTACTGGATGTTGTCTTACTAACTCATGGAGGATATGAACATGGTTAAATTTAGTGCATTAGCTTCGGTATCACTTTATTAAAAGGGGTGAGCATAAGACTGACATGACACTGTTATAAACATGACATAACACCTGTCATGAACATGAAGAAGTGTTTATGAATGTTGTCATGAACTTTGCATGATTTTGTAAATTATGATAATTTAATGCAAAGTTGGCATTTTAATGGACTTTTAATGCAAATTTAGAGCAACGTTGCATTAAAAGTGTCATTATTTACCGAATGACACTTCATGACAACATTCATAAACATTAATAAAAACTTCATGTTCATGACAGATGTTATGTCAGTTTTATGCTCAGCCCTTCTAATAAAGTGTTACCATAGCTTCCATTACACATCATGTTGGTGTAGCACTTTAGTGTTAGTGGAACTAAAGGTTATGATTAGGGTTAGCACAGCTAATTTTTTAGTTAACAATGCCCAGCATTGGATTAAGGGAACCTCGGTGGGGTCAGAGGTCATTAGATCACATGAAGGTCTTTTGTCTGGTAGAGCATCTTACTGCTGAGCATTAATGTTTACTGAATGTTTAGAGAATCCAGAACCTCCACATAAAGTCTAGACATATTGATCATTATCTTCTATAGATTATTTATGACATTAGTCAGCAGCAGTTCTACCTCTGGTTCTGTTGGTTCTGTTGGTTCTGATGTTGATTTGTCCATAACTGATCCCGTCGGTTCTCACGTCTGAGTAGATGGCAGATGAAGGATTCTCTGTGAAACACAGAGAGATGGTATGAGCTGCAGCCGTCAGATAAATGTTTTAACCATTAACACTTTGTTTAGTCTGTTATAAACTTAAACAGTAAAACCAGCAGGTGGGAAACACTGAGACCACAGAGTCTCACAGCTAAATCAGTCCAAGCCGACACGTTTCAGATCAAACAGACACGCTGTCGCCTTCGACACAGAGATGCAGATCTGCAGACCACCCTGCAGAAACCACTCACACCTCCAGAGGAAGAGCAGAGCTGCTTTCACACGCAGATAACTGGAACAAAGGGTGACGAGCAAAAACACCGAGAAGAACCAGAGAAATACTGAACCTCTGATTGACTATAACTGTGTCTGTAGAGAGACACTGTCTGTGATTTATTGGGGTAATCAGTGAAGATAGGCATGAAAGTTATCTGAAGAAGGCAAATAAATGAGTTTTCTTTTTTTTTAGTATTTTAAAACTCAAAACGAGCTGCTATTTTAAAGATAAGCAGCATAAGATTATTAAAATCTAGATCTACAGGAACATTTTTACTCCTCAAGACCTTTAAGTGGAGTTAAACATGGAGTAAGGAACAGGCAGTCAGTCATCAGAGCATTTACAGACACTTCATCAAACTGATCTACATGACTGTAATGCCAGAACGAAGTGTCATCTAAACAAATCAGCTGTTTGCTGAAGACGAGGACAAGATCAACTTCAGTTCAGATGGTGTGAAGTGTGTGTGGCAGTAATCAGGTTAGGAGATCAACAGTAGCCCATAAACTGTGGCCTGTGTCTGGGCTACAGTGAAACACGGTGGTGGCAGTGTCATGATGAGTGTTGCTGGCTGTGAACTGAGGGAACCATGAAGCAGAGAATGATCCCTCCTCAGAAACTGGACCACGGGACAGTGTGGTCCAGCAACCCTAATATTGTTACGTTGGAATAACAACAGTATGGCTGCTATTCCAACATAACAACAATAACCACATCTCAATGATGCTAAAGGGACTGAGGGAAATGGTGCTGAACTGGTGAAACTTCTCTTCAGTCCTATACTCCATCAAGCATCTGCAGGCCGTCCTCACACAGCAGGTGGAGGAACAAACGTCTCCATCATCCAGCAGCTCTGAGATGATGAATCATGACGGTGACTCTAACAGAAACCTGTGAAACTCTGAGCCCGAGAGGAGAGGCCGTGTAATGCAGGAAACACAAGATATTGATTGATATTGGTTCACGTTTAGTAAAGTGATGGTCCGGTAGACTCAATTTGGTTGAGACCAGAACTCCATCATCTGCTCCACCTCCAGCTGCTGTGGTTCTGA